CAAAAACTCGTCCTTCTCTAAATCCCATTGCACACTAAATGCTCTGTCTGTTGGTAACGGACTTCCCTGCATTTCAAGGAGACTCGGTGCCCGCTCATCAACTGGGATGCAATCGATTGCATGACGACTGTCTGACATCCACTTGGTCAACTTGAACCCTTCCGTGAGCAGTAGCTTGGATAAATCCCTAATGTAACAAACTGCTTCCTTGATACTATCAAAAGATCCCAGGAAGTCGTCCACATAAATGTTATGTTCAACACAGGAGACCACCGGTGTTTCGAAACACTGAGAAAATTTGTTCACGGTCGTTTTTAACGCGAAGTTTGCACAGAATGGAGAGAATATCGCGCTAAACGGATGCACCGTCATCCGATACTCTNCACAACCGTAGAGCGTCCCTCTGCCCTTCGGGCACTTTGAACTGCATGAAAATCTCCTCGATATCAGCCGCTACCGCAACTGACCCTAGAAGAAATCTGCACAGCACCTCAATCAGTGGGGTCGTCAGATCTGGGCCTTGTAGTAGATGATCATTTAAGACAATCCCGGCACAATTGACAGCACAATCGAAGGCAACCCGGATCTTCTGAGGTTTCTTGGGGTTTATGATAGGGTGGTGCGGAAGGTACCACAATGGTTGCTCCTTCTCCACTTCTCCCATTGCGCGTTCGATATATCCCAACTCTAGATTGCGTCTCTTTTCGACTTCTCCCATTGCGTGTTCGACATATCCCAACTCTAGATTGCGTTTCATGGCGTAAAGCAGGCCTCCTTCAACTGTGCGTTCCTCTTTAATAGACCCTTCAGGTAGTTGAGCCTATGGAGGGCTATTTCTCGATTATCTGGCAGTCAGTTGGATCCCGTTCGCCAGGGTAACGGCACTTTGGATTGGATTCCGTTGTGTCGTGCCGTTTCGGTGACGACAATCAGGGCTGCTCGGTCTTCCCTCGACAAAGATACCCGGTCGTCTGCTATGTCGCCGAACTAGAGGTTGTACAGCCGCTCCAGGTCGTGTTCCATGGGATTATCTGGCCGCGAGATGAAGTTGACCGAGGCTGAGTAATTACCATCATGACCCAGCGGCCCCTAGAGTATCCAATCAAACATCGTGCGCCCAGCATACGGAACCCTACGGCCTCCTAACCTTTGGTCCAGAACCCAATGCGCCTCGGGTGCATCACAGCCGATCACTCGGGTGTCCGGAACATCCTCGAACGGCAGATCGTGGAGGTGAGGCCAGCGCCGCGCTAACGACTGGATACATTCGGAAGCTCTCATTGTTAGTTCGGCGATAGTAAATGCATGGTGCACCTCTATCGTATGTTTCTCCGATGTGGGAGCTAACTTCAAACTCAGTTGAGAAGCTGGAACTGCTCGTGCCCCATTTACCGTGCTGATTACCAATGAGGTGGTTTGTCCACCCAGGTCGTGTTCTCGTGCAAAGCTTCCTCTCTCAAGAGGTTGGTATCCGAACCATTATCTAAAAACGCTACGGCTTGAACCATGCCACGCGGGGTTTCCACTTGGATTGGTATTATTCCCAAGCGGACCGGCTCACTTGAATTCGTCCGATAGTGCAGACGGATTTCGGAGTATCCCCAGCTGAGTGTTCATTGGTTCTATCGACTCGGCCATTATTTGTTCGCCGCTCGACTCTTCCATCGCGGTGTAATAATGGGTGACGCCGAACCCTGCAATTGCCTTGGCCACAGTTGGTTCGGTTTCTACAAAGGGCTGCTCTGTGGGTATCGCTCAAGCACACAAAGTACAGTTGGTTCGGTTTCTACAAAGGGCTGCTCTGTGGGTATCGCTCAAGCACACAAAGCACTGGTTCGGTTTCTACAAAGGGCTGCTCTGTGGGTATCGCTCAAGCACACAAAGCAGGATCATTTTAGCTGTTGTGCGGCGGTCCATCACCTTCATTGCCAAAAACTCTCAGCAGCTAACAATTTTGTGGACGCCTGAGCAGAGTTTGCACTTAATCGGTCTTTGTGGGTCATATGAGATTAATTTGATGCTGCCCAGGTGTGTGGGGGATAGAGACATCGAGATCCAGACGGCGCAAAGTTGGTTGAAGGTCTAGAGGTTCTGATGCTTTCCCTCGCTAGTTGGTCGAATCGACTATTTGCTATGCGAGATTGGCAACCTATGAATTGAGTGAGCTTGTCTAATGTCGCTTCTCTGTTCCTTTTCTTGATTCGATCGGCCTCGGTCGCCCAGGCTGTCTGCATTTCAGCCGGCAAACATCTGACAATCGATTCCAGCGTGTGAAGTGCATCCAGGTCCGACCGATATTCGAGGTGGTTTAGGGCGATGCTGCAGTTCTGCATCTTGATGACCAGGTTTGCTAGNCCGACAAACATCTGACAATCGATTCCAGCGTGTGAAGTGCATCCAGATCCGACAGATATTCGAGGTGGTTTAGGGCGATGCTTTTCTCGATTCGATCGGCCTCGGCCGCCCAGGCTGTCTGCATTTCGGCCGGCAAACATCTGACAATCGATTCCAGCATGTGAAGGGCATCCAGGTCCGACCGATATTCGAGGTGGTTTAGTGCGATGCTGCAGTTCTGCATCTTGGGACTGTATTGATCGATCTGTGAAAATCCTTCCTGTTAAGCCCAGTCAGTCCATCTCGGTTCCACATTTCGTGAATTTTACGTTCC